ATAAAATATAATAAAAATTATTGAATTAGATTCAAATGATATTTTAAATCTTGTCCTAATCCTTAACATCTAATGGCTACGTGATTAGGATTGTCAAAATGACTCTTTGTTCGTGAACGGCTCGTGTTCGGCTCGCTAAGCAAACGAGCCGAACACAACAACTTTTGAGATCAAAATATAAACGAGCCGAACACGAGCGAGCCTCGTTTACACCCCTAGCTCTATTTAGCTTTTGATTGATAATGCACTTCATAAATTTGTTAGTTACACCATCCAAAAAAGTGTAAAATGTTGATTGAATTCATGGTCAAGCAAATATTATATTTCCTAGTCGAAAGCTTTAAAAGAACAATTAAGATTACATCCAACAAAAATAATTATTTTTAACATGAAATAATATCTAAAAATTATTATTATTATTACTATTATTATTATTATTATTATTATAAGGAAGAAGGGGGAAAACAGGTAAACATGTTAATCATAAGAGCTTCTGGAGGGCTAAAAAATATTCTAAAAATTACTTTTAAGCCGCAAATAAAATAACAAATAAGCAAAATATTACCTAGGTAATCTCATATGAAATAGTGAAGATATGTCGGATGTGCGTTGAGAACCACCATGGGACCCTGAGATCACCTTCAAATCCAACCAGCACCCCATTTCTTGTTAAGAGAAGAAATTTGGAGTGAAGGAGGAAAGAACAGCGAGAAGGAGGTCCTATATGAAGGAATTCAAGGAGAGAAATATTTCAACTTCTGCTTCATCCGCCTCCAGCCATATAACATGAAAAAAATATAGGACTAGTATCTCGTATGACAAATGCAGCTCCTTGAAAATTCCTAAGTGGCACGTTCTAAATAGATCTCTACCCTTGAAGTAATTTAGGTGTTGTCTAACAACCCATTACATTTAAATTACTAAGATTTATTAAATCCTGTAAAATTAGGATTTAGCAAATCTTGAAGGAGTTAAATTTCAAAAACTGTTTGGCAACGGATTTAATAAATCCACTAAAACTATTAGACAGAGCCATAAATTTACAGCCGGCGAACTTAAATCCCCTCATTCATAGGATTTACTAAATTTGAGATTTCCAGACAAATTCCGTGAAATCCGGATTTATCACATCCACGGATTTATTTTTTCTAAAAAGACCGTTTGGCAAGATCTCGCTTACATCCTGCATAAATCCTTGCCTAAATCCATTGTCAAACAAACCCTTAATGGGTAGTATTTATTAAGGATATGCCCTAGTTCAAGTAAAAAGGAATCTCTCTAAAATCCTATTCATCCAAAAAGAAAACAAAAATAGCCATAACAATGATATTTAAGAAGAGATGAAGATTCAGATATCCTACTAAGGCCTAGGTATCAAAACTAGAAACTCATCAAATCATAGACATTCTACTAGTAGATTGATTGGATGATTTCCATTTTTAAGGCACCATACTTTCCTAATTTTATACGAGAGGCCGCTTACCACTCTTTATAAAGCAGCCAATAAGCGGACATCTAGGACACTTTATAGCTGCAAATTGGACATATCTCATATCAAACCTCTCTGGTACGTGAATTCGCACGTATGGCAAATATAAATTTCTTTACAGCTATAATGATTAACAAATTTCTTATTGATTGCTCTCTGATACGATCCGGAGCAAAAATTGACAATTCTTCATAGAAATTTGGGCAAAATAGATTTTTTATTTCAATAATTCAAACAACTCAATAAGAATACAAAAGATAAGCACCTACGATTCGAGAGGTAGGCGATATCTCTCAATTTCTACAATTTGAGAGGTAGGAAATCTCTCCAAAAACCTAAACCCAAGACTCGCAATCCAATCTCTATCCAATCTCATGCATCCAACCTAACCCTAAACATAATAAGCTTATTTATACACAATAACAATATTAATGATAAACGATTAAATTGCCCTTAGACAAACAAAAGACAAACTTGCCCTTAGACTAAGGTATAAACGTAACACTCTCACTATCGATTGCCAGTTAGAAATTAGACACAAGTATGCATTTTATCAGATAGCTTATAATGCATTGCATACATAGGGTTGTAAATGAACCAGGCACTCACTGCACAACTCTAACTCAATCTATCAAGTTTGTTCAAATTAGTAAAAAAACAAGTTCAAACATATTTTAAAAATTCAAAGATTAAATGAATCAAACTAAAATACAATCAAACATATTCTTTTATGTTCACGAACAAACTCGTTTGTTATCCAATATGTAACTTAGTTAATGATCAATAATTACAGGATATATCACTAAAATAAATTTTGTTGAAGTAGAATTTATTCGATTATATATTTATAGTAACATTTTATAAGATGGTGGTGAGAACTACATACTCTATGGCGCAGAATGTTGACCTTTAAAAGAGAAGCACAAAACAAAGTTAAGTGTTGTTGAGTAGAGAATGCTTAGGTAGATGAGTGGCTTGACACTTAGAGACAAAATGCAAAATCAATAAATTCATGATAGGGTTGGTGTAGCTCAAATGGCGGACCATATTAGAGAGAATCGTCTTAGATAGTTTGGTCACATTAAAAGTTGATCATCTGATAATTCGGTTAGGAGAGTAGATATTTTAGATTCGACTTATGTTAAGAAAGAGATTGACCTAAAAAGGCTTGGGATTATATATAAAAAATGATCTTAGTTAATTAGAATTTAATGAAAATATGACACTTAATAAGACGCAATAGAAAAAAATTATTGAAGTAGCTGACCACACTAAGTGGGATAAAGGCTTATTGTTGTTTTTATCGTATATATTTATGGTAGCATATAAAAATTTAATATCAATATGTATATTAATTGTAAGAGCATTTACAAACCTCATAATTCTTAGGCATTTACATGTCAAATACTAAATTTTTATATTTACATGTATAGCACTAAAATATTTAATATTACATTAAAAAATACAACTATTATTACCCTTCCAAAAGTAAAATACTCTTGTAAATTTCTCTCACATTTGTTCTTATTTATTTATTTCAATAAACTAGTTTATTAGGACTTATATTATTTGACTATAAGAAAGCATAATTCTAACTTAAATATTATCTTATTTGATTAGTGTAAATTAATTAGATGCTAACTCAAAATAAATTTGGTTGTTTATTTGATTAGATTTATAAAATTATTTGCTAATAATTATATGAAAAATTAAGTACTTATTTAAAACTTTAGCTTGTTTATTAGCTCGTTGAAGTACTGTTCAATTGATGAAAACAAATCAAGTACAATTATTTAAAAATTTTAAACAAAATATAAGCATGCATTGAAAGCTCGACTTGAGCTCGAGCCAAACATGAACTTCTAGTATGACCAAGCCAAGCTCAATCCACATTCAACAACATAGCTTAACTCAGCTTGATTACAACTCTAAGTATACATATATAGTTTTCAAAATATAATTAAACATTTATTTATATAAAATTGGTCATGCCCTCAAAATTTAGTTCTTTGTTTCTATACAAAACAAGCTCCAATGTTCGCATCTAATGAATATAATATAAAGATTTTAGTGACGTTTACCGACTTCTAAATTCTCCTAATTAGTTTATCTTTCTGCTATATCTGAAAAGCTTAATGCAAAAGGAGAATGCAAAATAAGTTTCCTTCTTTCCATCTGATAAATTTAACGCAAAAGAGATTGTGAAGTTTCTTTACTCGGGGGTTGTTTGGTTGAGTCAATCAGTGTATTGTAATTCTTTTTGCATGAATTTAAGAAAATTATGTAATTGATATGAAGAATTACAAATATGATGTAAAGTATAAATGAATTTGAAGTTTACACCATAGTTCATTTTGATTGAATTTAGCCAATTTGGTCTAATTTGAATTACACTATTCATGTAAAATGCTATAAGCCATCGTCGAAGTCGCCTCTCACCATCTGCGGCAGCCCGTCACCTGCCGCCTGTTGTCACTGCCCGTTTCCTATCGCCTTTTTCCCACCGCCACAGGCCCCTTGCCGCCACCGACCTTCGCTGTTGTCACCACCCACCACCGCTGGGCCGCCCGCCACTACCTGCCTGCCACCCGCCACATAAAAATATTGAAATACATTGATTTCAATATAATTTAAACCAAACAAAAAAAATATGAAGTCCTATTTCATAGTGAACCAAATAACTCGAAAGTATTTCAAATACATTATAATCATAATAATCTACAAACATTTTACATTGCAGTTCATTTTCAGCAAATTAAACGGCCCCTTAATGTACTTCTCCGACCACTAAACCATTACTACAAAGCAATAACCAAAATGTTTTGGGATACTTACAATTATTTGCAAGACACTCCTACAGCAATCTAGATATAAACTACAGTTATTAAACCCTCCCTGGCAACATTTTAAAGGTTACTTTATTCTTCCTTCTATACCACTTTTTAACAGACATTATCACCCCCAAATGAACAATACCCTAATAACCCTTAAACATGCTCTTCGAACCACTAACTCCTGCTCCAAAAACCTCACTCTCCTTCATAATAATACTCTTAAAATGTTTGATTTAACGCCTGTGCCACCTATATTTGCCTCTTGTGTGATTTCCCATTTTGGAACGGGAGAATTCTGTATAAGTTGAGCCTCATGCATCACAGCTTATGCTTTAGGTTACCACAGCTCAAAATTTATTCCAAAGTACTTATGTGAGAGCTAATAGATCAAACTAAAAATAAAATCACTTGTATATAATGGTATGCAGAACTAATTTGAATATAAAAATAAAATATTGCTATTCTCAAATATTAAAACAATAAAAACTCAACTGGATAACGCAAACTCTCAATATTGTTGATGTGCACAAGAAAGATTATTGAATTTATTAATAATGTCGAACTTTGTTCTTATAGAATTACATTTAAAAAGGAGGGCTATGCTCACTCAAAGACCACACTTGAAACCAGAAAAACTGTATCTAGCTCAAGAACTAGTTAAGTACTATGATTCTCACCTGTGGATCCATCCTCATATCTAGAGGCCCATCACCAAGAACACTAAATCCTCTTTCCGGATAGTCAACCTGACAAATATTAGCACAATATCAACTTGAGAGAAAATTTTAGTTCACTGAGAAAAAAACATTAAAATCTCTCAAAGCCATGAATCACATTTCTTTTGATGTACAATGTCTTTTTGAAATCATGCTATCCTCTTTTTTAAAAAAAAACCATTTTATCGATGTTAACTTAATAATGGATATTGCTTGTTTGATTTATTGGCTCCTTAAGATTGCACATTACTTGCATGGGTGGGGGAGAAAGAGAAAGAGAAGATACATCCCTTGCCCAATAATATTCTTCAAAAATGATGGAGATAAAGATGTTTGGGCAAAAAAAATAAATATCTCATGATAAATTATGATTCATAAAAAAATAAATATCTCATGCAATCAAGAAACTAAATGGGTTGGGAGAAAAGATGAAAGAAACTGATAGTTTAGGATTTAAACTTTGGTATTCAGTCATGAGTCGCACTAAAAATGATGTTGGTGTAATTATAGATAAAAATTTGAAATATAATGTGATAAAAATTATTAGAATTGGAGATAAAATTATAGTTCTAAAGATTTTTATTGATAATAAGATAATAATATTATAATTATATATACTCCCTCCAGGTAGGTTAAGATATATGTTCAAAAAGGAATTTTTATTGGAGGAGATATAAATATGCATATTGGTAGAATGGTAGCAAATTTTAGAAGTATTCATGATGGATAAGATCTTGGAGTGACTAACGAAGAAAGTGATTATATTGGATTTTGCTTTAGTTTATGATTTTATTATGGATAATACTTTACTTAAAAAAAAGTTATGGGCATATTATCATTTATAAGAATGGACATAATAAAATACAATTTGATTATTTTCTAATGAGAAAAATAAGAATTTAAGATTGTAATGATTGTGAGGTTATTCCAAATAAAAATTAAAGTGTTCAAAATAATTTATTGGTTTTGAATTTAACATGAAAGATTGGAAGATGAAAAATATAATCAAATATTATTATAGAATAAAATGGGGCCACTTAAAATACATAAACAAAATTATTTTTATGAGTAAACTTCAAGGTCTTAAGATTTAGGATGTTCATGAAGAAGTTAATAAAATATGGCGTAAAGTAAAGAGAATTATTAAGCAATTTGCAAAGGATGTACTTGAAAAATCAAAATAAAAAAATCTTATAAATATAAATAATTAGTGGTGGAATAATAATGAGCAAGAAAAAATAAAAAATAAAAATTTTTATTACAAAAAATTAGTTTAAATATAAAAACTTGAATAATTGAAAAAAATATAAAGTGGCTCATAGGGAGTTTAAAAAATAATTTGTGATGTTAAGAGTTTTATTTTTAATGATATTTATAGTAGATTAAATATTAAAGATGATGAAATATATATATATATATATATAAACTAACCAAACAAAGAAATAAGAAAAGTAAAGATTTTGTTTGAGTAAAATGTACTAAAAATAAAAATAAAAAAATACTTTCTTAGATAAGAATATTCAACATAGGCGGGTGAGATGTTTTGATGAACTTTTCAATGAAGATTGTGAAAATACAATTGATTTTAGTGAGCTTAATATCATAAATAATATTTTTTTTTTTTTATTTCCACGATCACATTAGTAAATAAAAGTTGAGAAAGCTTTAAAGAAAATGAAGTGTGAAAAAACAGTACAACTTGATGTTATTTAAATCTAAGTGTAAAAATGTATACAAGATCTGAGAATTTGGCTTACTAAACTTTTTAATATCATTTTAAAAACTAAGAAAATATCTGACGAGTGGAGAAAGAGTCTATTGGTTTTGATTTTTAAAAATAAAGAGGAAGCACAATAGTGTATAACAAAAACAACAATAACAACAACAAAGCTTTAATCCCACTACGTGGGGACAACAGTGTATAAGAGGAATTAAATTAATGTGTCATATATTAAAATCATATGAGAGAGTAGATAAACATAAGTTATGATGTGACACAAAAATTTCTCAAAATCAGCTTGGATTCATGTCCGACAAGGCTCCTGTGGAAGCTATACATTTATTAAGAGGTTTGATGGAAAAATATAGATAGAATGAGTAGGATCTACATATGATTTTTGTTGCTTTAGAAAAATCTAATGATCAAAATCCAAGGTAAGTACTTTGAAGTCTTCTAAAATAGAAATGTGTTGATATTGTTTATATTTAAGACATTAAAGATATATATACTAGAGTTGTACTTGTGGCCAAACAGAAGGATTGACCAAGTATCTTCCTAATTCAGTTGGATTACATCAAAGATCTATTTCAAGCCCTTATCTTTTTGCTTTAGTTATGGATGCTCTTATGGACATTTACAGGAGGATGTACCTTAGTGTATACTTTTCACTAATGATATCCTTCTTGTGGAAAAGATTGGACAGAGAGTTCAGGAAAAATTGAATTATGAAGGTCAACTTTAGAGTCTAAAGGCTTTCGTTTGAGTAGATCTCAAACTCAAAACGTGAAATATAATTTCAGTAATAGTAGATCTAGTGATGGTGTTGTAACAATAGATGATGAAGTCATTATAAGGAGTGAACGTTGTAGATATCTCAATGCATCGAGGTCTATTGTTCAAAGTGATGGCAATATAGATGGGATTTTATTAGTAGAATTTAAGTTGGATGGTTTAAGTGGAGGAATGCATCGGCCTATTGTGTGATAGAAAAGTACCACTTAGACTTTAAAAAAAATTTATAAGATGGCGTTGAGACATGCAATGCATTATGGCGTAGATGTTAGCCTGTAAAAGCGAAGCAAAAAATTAAGTTGAGAGTCGTTGAGATGAGAATGCTCGGGTGGATAAGTGGTTTAATACTAAGAGATAAAATGTGAAACGAATATAGCTATGAAAGAGTTGAAGTAGCTCCAGTGGCAGACAAGATTAGAGAGAGTCATCTTAGATGATTTGGCTAGATTAAACATCGACCATTTCATGACCCTGTTAGAAGAGATGTTTTAGATTTGACTTATGCTAAAAAAATGTAGAGGTAAACGTAAAAAGGCTTAGGCATGTTGTATAAAAAATAATCTTAATTAAATGAAAATATGACTCTCAATAGGACACAATGGAGAAAAAAGATTCACGTAGCCGACCCCACTAGTGGGATAAAGGCTTGTTGTTGTTGTTGTTGTTCTAGTTCTAAGAAAATTATCAAATAGTTGAGTTCTCCTATTGAGGATCCCATGAATTCAACTTCCCATGTTTGAAAGCTCCGTCCAATGATTTGGGTGGCATAAATGTAAAGAATAAAATTTAGGAGTTAGATATGTAAATACATAAGAATTAGGTGGTATGTATGTAAATGCCCTTTTTTATAAAATTCTTGGTGGACATGAATCGGACTGAAGCTTAAGACTATCAAACTTGAAGAACTCCACCCGCTGGCACACACAATACTAATTCAACTAATAGCTGCTAAATTTGAATAATGTTACAATAAATATAACATCGGATTTCAAATGAAGTTAACTAATCACTTCCGCATTTCAAACAGAAACGAACGAGGGGACAAAGAAAACCTGCATGGATGAAATTCCCAAGTCCATGAAGATACCATCCACTCCTTCACTAAGTAGCTTGTCATCAACACCACCAAGCACGGTCTTTATGTACTTAAAATTCCTTACATGAGTGTAAGCTTTCAATTTTTCCCGGAAGCCATCTTTGATGACTGCTTCGATCCTAGCTCGAGCTTTATCAACGGCGAGCGTATCCAAATCCATGCCCACAAAAAGCTCCAGCTCCCTATGGGCTTCAATAATCTAGCTAACGGCAAGCAACCATAAGAAATTAGAAGAGCAACTGAAAATTATGGAGGAAACACAAGGGAGACGAGAAAGATAGACGAACTGCGGAAGAGTGACCGGCGGCACCGAGAGTGCAATCGACGAAGGAGCGCAGCCGAGGGGGACGGAAGGTTTCGAGGACCTCGCAGAACATCACGGGAACGTGGCTGGCCGAGGCGTATTTTAGGTATAAATCGCGGTCGAATTCCACGCCAGAGCGTGTTCGCCGCTTGAGAAGTTCATGCGAAGAAGGGCGATTCGTCGAGGATGCAACTTTCTTGGAGGTTGCCTTGAGGTTTACGCTGCGTCGTCTAGCGCCGGGAGAGGTGGAGAGAGATCGCCGGAGTTTAGAACCTCTGCGAGTGTAGAGACGGCGGATTTGAAGAAAGAGATTGATTTCGTGGTTGTGGAGGAAGGCTACGCTGTGCTGTAAGAGACGATTAGACGCCATGCGCCACCGTGCGGCAGAAAATCGTAGCGGTGGTGGCGTGAACTGAAGCACCTGTCCGGTGGAGTGAAACTTATTAGAGGCGGATAATTTATGTATGCTTATAATCAGTAAAATGTACTGCAGCCTGCATATATATAAATTCCGCACCTAATATCATGGATAGCAACGCAATAAAACCTTTAAAATAAAGCTTTAAAAATCGGTTCGCACATTAAAGCAATATATTCAAAGTTCAAGCTTCAATATTTAAAAGTGGAGTTGGAGTTCAGATGACATAATAAATTAAAGTTTTATTTAAATATAAAAAATAATGTAATTTATTAAAAAATAATTATTAAATATAAAATAAATATTTCAATATTAAAATAATCAGCATCATAAGAATTTTAAATGTTATTTTAAAAGTTAATAGCAATTAATTAAAAAATTTTAATATGAAATTTAAAAATCACATTACAATCATTTTAAAAAATTTTACAATGAGTCGCAATTAAATTTTGTATCTTATTATTAATATTAATATAGCATTAATATATATTTTGATATCATTATATAGATTGTGTGTGTGGCTATTTGCATTGCACTACTAAATTATAAAAGAAAATAATAAAAAAAAGAACAAAAACTTTGTACAAGTAATTAAGTACAAAGAAACATATTATAAAATTGTTTTAGCTTTTATAATTTAGTTACACTTCTTTAAATCATTTATTACTCATTTGTATGAGATAGCTATAATAATGGTACATAGGTAGCTTAAGCATCTAAAATTCTTTGAAATAAATTATTAACATTACCGCCCATCTTGTCCTAGTTGGTTTAGGGGTCAAATCGACTGGTTTTCTCCGATTTTATACAAGAGCAGTAATTAAGTCAGCCCGAATCGGACAACCGATCGGCTTGATCGGTGGAGGATATTATGATTTATTAAATTAAAAGGTTGTTTTTTATCAAAATAAAATAGTAAATTGCATCTGTGGATTAATTTTTTTCATTAAAGGAAACATATGATCTTCTATTCTAACACTAGTGAGCTTGAACCATATCAACTTCTAATAGTCTACTCAGCCGCATCTATGGAGTGCTAAATAATGTAAGTAGTTGACTCGAAGTGTTCATATGTAAATCATGATATTTCTAGTGCTATATTTGCAAATCCTCTAAACATAAAGTAGTGAATGGGAATCAAAACAAATAAAATGGTTTTTAGTTTTGATTCGTTTGGTTGCTTCTTTTTAATTTTAAATTGGATTATTTTTTTCAAAAAAAAATATATTAATATAAATTATATTTTAGAATTAATTTATGTTTATTAATTTTTTAACATTTTCATGGTGTATTATAGATGGTCACTTTGATAGAGATTTATTAGAAAATGTGTCGTAGACTATGCCTAAATACTTTTAAAAATCTATTTATGATTTATATTTGAACCATTTTCGAAGTATGATTGAACATAGATTGAGAATATCAAAGAACGTGGTATTTGAATTAATCCTATAGGGATATATTTATAATCTTGAAAATAAGTATTCAGATCTTATCTAGATAATAATGACATAATTTTTTCAGTTCCGTCTATGTTGATTGATTGTTTTATAGTTTTGATAGATGATTTTCCTTTACAATCAAATGTTCTAATTTTATATAGTGTAGATTTTTCTACTTTAGAAATTTTCAATTTATTAAGATTTTCTTGTTTAAAGGACTTTCAATGACTTCGGTATTTCTTTATTTTTTTATTTGTTATAGAATATGATATTGATAAAATGGAAATAAAATGAGAACTAGATGCAATGAGAAAGCATAAGAGACTCGTATAAACAGATGCAAAATAAATTTAAAGCAAATCAAACGTTATTCTTGATAGAAAAATGCAGACTAATTTGAGCTAAGTTTCTAGCCAACTTTAAATAATTAGAGATAACATCCAGGGCAACAACGTCCATACAATACTTTGATAAAAGAGCAACAACCAAGCCATCACAACTTGTTAAAATAATTAAGAAATTTATAAGTTATATCATATTATTCTACGAGAAAAATGAGAAGGTTAATAAATTTATCATTATACACAGTCAAGGATTTATAGAGCTTTTCAACTCAACCTGACTTCAAGTATAAGGTAAATTTTAAGTAACCATATTTCCTTAAAATTTATTTTATTTCTACATATATGAGTTCCTTAGTAAGATTTAGCCCTTCATGGCTTTGATACCAAATTACGTCTCAAGAATCAATTCACAAAATTAAAATTACATAACACTGTAATTATTAAAGCACATCTTTACGTATATTAAAATAAAAACTTACGGACTGTGAGAGAGAAGAGTTACACGATGCACAGCTTACAACTTTATAAAAACAAAATTTAGTCTTGCACACACCAACACAGAGTACTACTGACATATATAGAGCTCAGTCAAAGCAACGAACTCCAAAATTCTTAAGCAAAACATAATACCAGAAAAAATTACAAAAGCTTGAAGTTACGGAAGTTGGAAAGAGGAGGTTGTGGGAGCACTTTTGATCTGACCATGGCTTTTATATTTGTTTTGGATTTTCAAATATCTTCTTTTGATAGCTTTTGAATCATTGTGGGGTCCACTGCTAAATTTTGTCTACCATATAAAGATTCTTCTTCTGGATCATTATCATCTATAAATTTTCTCAATTGTCAGCTACCTCGTCACTAACCATTTATACCTCGTAATCTTTATGCATCTGAACTTTGCCTTCTTCAAATAATTTGGCAAGCTAATTCAATAATCTTTTTTTCAGTTTTGTCGGTGGATTCATTCAGAATTTTCCTCCATAGTCGTTGATAAAAAAATTTTAAAATAAGATAACTTCTTTAGCTTGATTTTTAAGCATACTCGTTTTATTAGTTTGAATTGTTTTATTAATGAAAACAATCTTTTCTTCGATTCGAATGATTGTCCACAATTTTACTAAATAAAGTCTGTATAAACATTTAAGATTTAAAGCATCATGTTGGATTTCAATATTCATCTACGGAACTTTACATTAAGTGAAAAAACATAAATCTGATTAGTCTTCTATTAAGATATTAGTTGAATTTTTAGATATGTAAGAAGGAGACTCAGCCCAATGGAAATAGGTAGCTTTGATTGGAGGGGGTAATATTTGAGTTACAACACCACAATTATCACGCTATTTATAAAACCAATAGAGAATATCATTGCATAAAATTTCAAGCATCATTAAAAACATTCATAAATTTTTTTATCTAGGATTAATAATAAGAAATGACTTAAGGCCCGTTTGGGGCAGCTTATAAGTGCGGGCGGTGTTTTCAAAAAGTCGTTGTATAGTTTGGTTTGCACGTTTCGTCAGCTTATCCGAAATCGCGTTTGAGTTTTTACACTAAACGCAGGTCGAGGGCCGAACCGCGGCTCTCCTGTGGGTTGTGTTTCAGGATAAACAGCTTATCCTGAAATGCACAAGCTGCCTCAAATGCACTCTTATTCGTCAGTTCACTAAAAGTACAATTATTAAAAGAAATGGTTTTTCTAAACTAAGGTTCGGGATGTTTATATTCAATTGTTTTAATTTGACATGGAATAAGGCTCCATTCTTTATGATTAATAATCCTATGAATTATAGCTTTGTTATAATTGATAGAATTATTTTCTTCATTTTAAATGTGCTTGATTTTTACACATTTAAGGGAGATAAAAAATGCTTCATATATATATTACAGTCATAAAAGTATGTCTGATGAAAAAGATTTGTACAAAGATAGCGCTCATGAATGGCCCAATGGGATGTGAGATGATAATTATCGTCGTTGACTTCTAGAATATAAGAGACTACAATTTTGGTGCAAAGTGCTGATTCAGATTCAGATTCAATAATTTTTTAGTAGGGTTTAAGAGGTGATTTAGGATCAACGAAGGAAGAAGTTTGAGATGAAGGAGGTTGATCACCATATATATATATTATACATCCAAAAATGATCAACAAGAATCTCGAGACAATCTAATGATTCAGATTAAAAGATAGATGACAAAAGAGTGCAAAAATCAATCATAAATAAAAAAGGCACCATAAAGATCTGTAACTCCCTATTAAAGTGCAGACTACAAAAAGCCAACATAAAGCCCTGTAAATCCCCCCTATTAAATTAAGGTATCAATGAAAAAGATAATAATAACATGTAACTCCCTCCATTAAAGTAGGGACAAACATGTAATTTTAGACTTGTTCTCTCTTTATTATATAAATAGGGATCTTATAACATGTAAAAAATGGGCAAGTCTATGTGTGTTATTTATTTTCCTTTCTTTGTCTCATTTTTTCCTCAAGCCACTATCACATTGATCATTGGGCATGCCTCACAGGACAAATTTAGATTTAAAATCCTGAAAAACACTACAAGCGTAGAGCATACTACTAACAAGAAGGGAAACAATACCAATGAAGAGAAATACATCCCAAAGACAGTTCTAACATGTAGCACATTAAAAAGTTCATGCAACAATTGAGCTGGAGTTGAAAATGCCATTTACGTCATCTTCTTAAAGGTTTTTGTAGGAGGTGAGTATTACAAAATGGATGGTCAACTCCCAACTGTCAAAATAAGATGGCTGACCACACTTGCGTACTACTTGATCAATTTCGAGTGGATGACAGCTCATCCAGCAAAAAAAGAAGTATTTCTCACAATTTATCTTGTGTTGTGATAAAAAATTCTTTAATGTTAGATCAGGTTCAATTAACACTCGAAATTTTGGGTTTCGAGTCAACGAAGAAGACATTAACAATAAAAGACTCCCCTCTAGTATGAGCAAACAAAAGACTCCCCTTCGGGACGAGCAAACAAAATATTTCTCTCAGGCGAGCAAAAAAAAAACCCTTTGGGACGAGCAAACAAATGACTCTCCTTCGGGGCAAGCAAACAAAAAAGTCCCCTTCGGGGTGTGTTGACCTAATGTTTGGTCAACCCCCTTTCTATTGCTTGAAGACTGGTTGGACTTCACTTGAGCTCAATCATATTAAACCCTATAATTATTGATTTCTTTCTAAAGATGATTGTAAGGCTTAAAAGCTAATTTTAAAGAATGCATGAAGCTTATCATAACTAATAAGAACCATGCAAACTAATCAGATGATCAACTAAAATAATTTTTATGTGGGAGCTGTCTACTAACTTGTTATGCATGAAAATAGTCTTACATAAAAATTATTTAACGAATCATTATTATAGAAAATTAACTTCACCATTGTGCTCTCTCTTCAAAATCTTTAAAATAAGTACTTGAGTGTTCAATTTTGACCTTATTCTGATACATTTTTTAGCAAACGATAATTAAGAAAGAGAAAATAACAATTATGGGAGATAAAGTGATAATTTGACCATAAATTTCTCAAAAAGACTTCAAATTGACTCCAATATTCAATAAAAGGTGTTTTAAACTTTAAAATACACATTGTGAAACAATTTAGACCAATAAAAATTTTTGGTCAAATTGTCATTTTTCTTTCTTAAGGTGGGGCTAAGTTTGACCAGTCATCTCTTCTTAGAGAACTTTAATTCATTAAAGCAAATTATACCTTTTGACTATATTACTAAAGTGAAAATTTGGTAAAAAAATCAACTCCCCAACCACCGTAAACACCCAGTTAATCACCCTTGAACTTCGAACGACCATAACTTTTGATACACAACTACATATTTCAAACCGTTTAAAGCATTGGATTCCTTATTTCAACCTCTTCCAGTTGGATTATAATTTTGATTTTTTTTAGCAACATTGGCAATTTTACAGACAATTTCACATTTTAAGGATTGTTTACAAATATACCCTTAATTTAATTAAATTATTAATTATTTATTAACAAATACCATATCACTGATCCTTGTGATTTTTTCTTTTTGTTTCAAAGGCTAAAAATCATGGATCCTATCCTTGAAATAATCCTAAGCATTAAATTTAAATAAATGACTCCTTGTTTCATCCATACCACCCAAATTACCCCGCTACGAAAAACCACCTCCACTCCATTTTTCGAGCCTTAAACTCCCTCTACAACATGAGAAAAATTTTCATCCGGATTTCAGATGCAGCTCTGCGTGCGAATTTACAGTAATATGCCGCCAAGTGTGCTACATTGCGAAGGTTATTTGGGATTATTGAAATGAAACCACATAAATTATTAGGCGGTTATATGAGAGTCATTAGGGGGTTATTATGAGGGTTAATGTAAGAGGTTATTGAAGTGGAACCACGGAGGTTATTAGGGGGTTATTATAAGGAGGTTATTGAGGTGGAACTACAGAGATTATTTGAAGTTTATTGGGGGGAGGTGTTATTACAGGAGGTTATTGGATTGGAACCGCAAATTTATTGAGGGTTATTGTAGGGTTATTACGACATTATTAGAGTTAATACCTCAATAATCTCTTAGTAACACTCCGAATAACATCCGTAGTTTTACTTCAATATTTTTCACTGTACCACTCCAATAATCTATGTGGTATCATTTTAATATTTTTTAGGTGGGTTCGATATAACACATATGACAATATATTACTGAAATCTGCACGTAAAGCTACTATTTCCAAGAGTTAAGTTTGTTACAAGAGATTTTGTCCTTATATTAAATGACATATTTAAAAACTCTTTCAATTAACAATGAATCTAAAAGATAGCGGCAAACAATTCATAATTTTATTTTATGAACATTAATTAATTTACACGATAAAACTCGGTAAAAACATCCGCAAAATTTAAAATTTAATATCCCTTTTATTAAATGTTTAGATACCTATTTATTTAAGAGATCCCAAAATATAACATGTGGTAGACATGTGGCAGACTGTCATTCGAAATGCCGCAATACAAATGTTTGAGCCTCCACACAGTTCCAGCCAGACTTCTCACTCTCTCTCTCTCTCTCTCTCTCTCTCTCTCATCCCGCCTCATTGAATAAGAATTATACATGTCTGCTTCGCTCCTCTCGCATTCCCAGCGCCCCTCCCAATGCCCGCATTCAACCCTTCGCCCACGAGCAACGCACAAACTCATAAACACGAAAGCAGAGAAACCGAGTGCAGAGCAGAGATGAGCAAGTAATGATTTATTCGCGTACTTCCTTTCTGCCCAAAATCAAAACACCTCAGCAGACCGAAGAAAAGCCTCGCTTTGCTTAAATCCCCAAACACAGAAGCCCCATTTCCTCGGTTCTTCTCTCACAGAGGTCAAAAAGGTGCTGCCTTTGGCCAGGACTAGGGAGCAGGGAAAGTAGAATCAGAGATTCATGGATAGCAACTGCGGTGGCGGGCCTTCTTGCTCGTCTGCGGCGCAGGAGCAGATTTCCTGTTTCTTCGGCGAGCAAGTTCATCCTCCTTTCTCTTCTTCTGCTGCTGGATGCAGGGAAAGGAGTGGGTTTTCTATAACTGAGAAACCTGAGTTAGCGGTTGAGGTAACGGTGAATGCGGCTTTCTTCTTGAGATGTTTTCGGTGGACTGGTTGTTGGGGTCTGCTTACGTTTGCTGTGGTACTAGGCGGTGGGGGAGGGAGCGAAGCCGGTGGCGTCGACTCGCAGCGGTTCTGGTTCGAAGAGGAGCAGGGCAGCTGAAGTTCACAATTTGTCGGAAAAGGTGGTAGTTTTGTTTACTGGTTTCCTGTTTTTGGTTTTTCTTTGATTTCTTAACGCCTTTAGGCTTCATGCTTCGTTGTCAGAGGAGGAGGAGTAGAATAAATGAGAAGATGAGAGCGTTGCAGAATCTGATTCCTAATTCTAACAAGGTTGGTATTTGCTTTTAGATTTGTTTTTTGGAAATGCTTTGTTTGGCTATTTTTGCTGGATTTGTAACAGTGCTTAAGAGTCAAAAAATTTGAAACTTGTGCCTGTACAGACTGATAAGGCTTCAATGCTTGATGAGGCGATTGAGTACCTGAAGCAACTGCAGCTTCAAGTTCAGGTTAGTGGATGCTAGCGTTAAAATCAAAACTAGAAATTCTTCAAGGTTTTTTTTTTTTTTTTTTTTTTTTTTGTGCTTTAAGTGCTCATTGGGTTGCTTGTAAAATGAAAAACTTGTTTTAGAAAGTGATGTTTTTCGGTTCACTCATTTTGAAATACAAATGAAATCCTCACCTTTAAGGAATTAAAAAAAAGTTTCAAAATTTTTTTAAAATTGCTTTTCTAACCCTAAGCTTGTTTATTTTTGTACTCTGGATATTATGTTTCCTGATTTTTTTCCTTAGTTATGTGAACCGTGAATAGTGAGCTCTAAGTTTATTTTTTTTGGTGGATCGAACTGTCATTTTTAAAGATATATCCGGAACAATTAAATGTTACTTTTTGAATATTTTGTTAGGCACCTTTTAAAAGGAAAATTTTGAACTGTGATTGTATGGAATGTTTTGATGCATTAAAGTTTTCACCTAAACCTTCTGTTAGGTAAGTATAGTAAGTGCAAATATAGTTTTTCAGGTTTTGTCTTAGCCATATTAAGCATTTTTTATACTTGCCCTTGGATAAATCCCAATAACTGTGATTGTATTATCTTTTCCTATAATGGCAACATTATAGATCAAATGATTCCTCCCAAGAGTCTTTTATGATTTGATGGAAACTTAAATTTATTTTTCAATCCATAAAGTTTTTTTTTTATTATTTTTTTTTTTATGCGAAGTACTTTGCATCCTTACTGAACAAGTCCATAGAACAATATGTCGGTATCATGTGGCATCTACTTGAAGATACCTTATTTGATATGTAAGTTTGAATGGGCATAATATGTTCCTCCAATATTTCATGTGCACCACCTTGTTCCCTTTAAGGATGATATTTTTCTTATGCTTGATGTATTCCTTTCTCCTAGAGTCAACTTTTATTTTCTTATTAAGAACACATGTATTTATTGGAAATCATCGAACTATGCAATTTTTTTTAATCTTTAAATTTTAAATAAGACAATCGCAATGCGTGCATATTTGCAATGTTCATCTACATACGAATTAAAATAAAAAAATTGCCGAAGTATGATGACCAAACAATTGAGTGGTGCTATCTTTCTGAATAAATACTTAACAAGTCATCTCTATGGTATTGAGAAGTTTGCTTTAGTTTTTTCTGGAGTTGTTTTTGATTGGAATTGTCGACTTCATGAATGAGGTCACAATGCTGTGTTTGATGAAATTATTGTGCTTAGGAATGAGTTTAGGCCTGCATTTGATACTGAGTTTAATGGCTGAGCAAGAAACAGACACGAATGCTGATTTTCATTTCACAATGTTTGCCAACATGGCTTATTTTGACTAAAGTCATAAGAGACCATGGGTTAAACCTTTAGTCAGAAAAGTTTGAGCAAATAAGATGATTAATGTTTAAGCTGGCAAGTAGACCTAGTACAAGGGTTTGAATAAGTTGAGTTAAGCTCAAGCCATCTGTTGCTTAAGCTTGAGCTCAATTTTACGAGTTCAAGCTGATTCGTTTATTATAAAAAATAAATGATGATTTCAATTCAAATATTGCAATAATTGAATGATCAATTTAATGAGAAATAATGAGAATTTGCTTAAGAAAACAAGGAGAATGAATGTTTAGATTATTTTAAATAACTTGATAGTCATATTCAAGTATTTTTTAAAGTTTATTTTATATTAGTAGTTAAATAAGGTAAATTATGAGTAGGTAAGTGAGTGAGTGTTGGCTTAAACTTGGATCATTAGTTCATTATGCTTAGATCATGAACCATTGTTAAGCCAAGCTTAAGCTGGCTTGACTTGGTTATACTCCTAGCTTCATTATGAATGTTTATATAAAAGAAAGTTTATGAATAATATAATTTTATGTAGTGTAAGAAAATCTACTGTCTTTAAGGTATAATTTGGTTTGGGACTGAAGGTTTGATTATTTGTAAACCTTATGTTCAACTCATCGATGTGAGTGCTTGAATGGTATTCACTACAGGGCACGGGAGAGTGCCAATCAACACACTTAATTTTAGTAAATAGGATGAGAAAAAATCCCATTTTTATAAAACAAATATTCATTTGTTTATATATTTATTTTTAACATTATTATTGATTTAAATTTAATATGGACAATATTCTAGTACAATATTTATATATTTATGTTATATGTGTACACAATTTTATTATTATTATTATTATATATATATATATATATATATATATATATATATATATATATTATTTACATTTTTTCAAAGAAGTGTGTATATACGCTCCCCACAAACTTCATTATGTGTGTCTGTTATTATTTTGGTGTCACCATTAGAGTGGTTTAGGAAATTTATTTATATCGTACTAGCATTCCAAAGTTGTTGTGCTGTCTGTTTGTATTGATCGCTGAACTAATTATTTGGGTTAATCTTTTGTGAAGCTATGTTTGTTTATCTTATTGTCATTGTATTAGGCTAAGTCAACTCATGATTCATGTATGTTGGTCAAAAATGGAATTTTGCTTTGTCTTTCCTGTACTTCTCAGTTGCACTCTTTGAAATTTCTTGTTGTTGATGCTTCTCATCTCTGTTTGTTGATGGTTATTTTTTCTACTTCGCATTACCTTTTTTATAACGTACATGTCATCCTGTAGACACACACTTGGACTTGAGCCAACCTTTCGTGCTATTTTTGGCTACTTATATATTCCTTTGACTTCTTTCATGACATGTGAACTTAAATCTTCTAGACATTTGTTCTCTATTGAAAAATTTGGTATTGGCTGAGGCTATCGGCTTGGCAAATTTAGAAGCAAGCAATTTTAGTTTATCTTATCATGTCTTGTCCTTAATGGTTTGATGTGGAGGGTTTCAGATGTGGAAGGGAAATAAATGATTTGATGTCAATTTGATGATAGACCTTGTTAATGAACTTTTTGGTTTTCGTCTTCCTTCTTCTCTTATAATTGGCTTGATTTCATTTCTATTATTTTTTGAATTTGATCCAAATAGGTGTTTTAATAGGAGAGAAGGGGAGAATTGTAATACCTTGGATCTCATATCACCTTGGTAAGTGTGGCATTTTTGGAATGTGGTAATAGAGAAATTTAAATGAGAGTCTTAAGTAACTTGGGAATCACCTATGATGAGAGAGAGATCATGAGGAGAGAGGATGGTCAATAGTCTTGAGAAGTTTAATTGTTTGAGAAAGAATATGTGATTAGTTTTTTCTTAGATTTTTTTTCTTCTGTCACAATTTGATTTTACTTTGTATTAATTCTTGAAATCCATCCCCAAACACATTTTTACATGGGATACATGGGAGAGAGAGAGAGAGAGTTGTTCCATCTTAGGACTTGGGTTTCCTTAAACCTCATTCTTTCTTTAGAATAAGACAAGGGAAAGTTATGTGTGGGTGGGATTCATCTACCTAAAGAATTTTATATAGGTAGAGAGTGAGATCATGAGAGATGGAGGTTAGAAATCCTAGGGATTCTAGTAGATAAAGAGAAAATAAGCATCGACATTGATAAACCATCAACAAATTCCATCATCCGACATAAATCTTGAGGCATGACACGGATTCCAAAGCAATATTTTGAGTAAGACATGTTCAAACTTCGATTAAGAGTCCTCCAGAGCTTTGATTTGAGCAAACTTACAGTCAAACTAACCGATTTGACGAGATAGACCCAATGATACCTCAAGTCCGAGTCAAATCAAGCTCAGATCAAGCAATTAAATCACTTATAGAAGCTTTCCGACATTTTTGGGAGATCGAACATATGTTGAATAAAGCGAGTTCAAAGTTAAATCGAGCGTCTCGATATTATGAATTAAACGAGCCTAAGATTACTCAATTTTGATATCGTTAAGGCACTCAAATGTCCATCAAACTCTGTCAAATCGAAGGAAGCCCTCTAAGCCATCCAATCAAAGTTATTCATATTCCTTCTTTTATTACACTCGAAATTCTATAAATAGAGCCGCCCTGAGGGGGAAGAAAACTTGAGGCTTGAGGATGAGAGTTTATAGACTGAAGAGAGTGTTTGATGTTTTGAGAATGAGTTGTAGTTCAACATCACTTCTGTTGTTATCGACTATCGTTTACCACTGCTGACTGACCGCTGTCAACCACCGCTGATGTCGGCACTTAAAAGAAAGAAAGGTTGTTTGGGGGTCGCCCGTAAGAAGCTGTCGGCAGCCGGAATCGAAATCCCGTCGCCCGCTTCGGAAGGACTTTTTAATTTACGTATATATATATAATTTTAGAAAAATA